TTAGAAAGTAATGAATTATGAGCATTTATTCCTTTGTTGTTGCTATATGGATTTAATGGTCAGTTTACATAATTTCATTTACATAACCTTTCATTTAATGTTTCATGTAATTTCATTGTGTTCAACCACTGGCTGATAAAATTCAGCTTTCAAGAAAATGGTGGGTAACCCAGTGTGGCTGGGGGACAATGGAGGTGCAGCTGAAAGGTTATTTTTTTTGGGGGGGGGTCAGGCTAGGATGGGCCCTGTGGGCCTGGTAAGGGAGGGCGGTGTTTCAACAAGGGAGTGAGAGGATCAGGTGGCTTCAGCAGGGTCACTCTGCACACGGAGAGACTGGGTTTGTGTGGGGAGCCTGAGGCAGTAGGTCAGTTAGGAGGCTGCTGATGTAACCAGAGGAGAAACTGATGGCTTGGACTAAGGCGGACGTCGTGGGGAAAGAGAGGTGGCAGATGTCAGTTATTCGGACGGTACAGGACATGGTGACGCCGGGGAAAGGGTGAGGGAGACACTGAAGAGACACCAAGAATTGGGGCCTGAGTATCTGCTTGAATGGGGGTGCCAGTACCGAAACAGAGCTGGAGACACAGGTGGGATAGAGGACTCAGGATCTTGCCTCTTGTGGCTCCAGTGCATGGGAGTGTCCTCACTCCTGCCTCTGGCCTGGCTCTTGGCCACCCCGGGAAGCCACACCCCCTCTCTGGAACTCAGTCCCCCATTTGTAATGGGGTATTGGACTGTGACTCCAGTGCCCGCCAGTGTTGTGAAAGCCCCATGGAATTGGGATGGGGGTGGAGGAGGCTGTTCCTGTCCTCTTGCTCTCCAGTCCCCTTTCCACTCCACTAGCTTCTCCTGGGAAGCTGCCCAGCTGTGTTGGCAGATGGCCACCTTCCTCTCTCTGTGCCCTGCCTTCCTTCCTCCCACTCAAGCCCAGGGGGCTGATCTAAGAAGGCTCTTTAATAATGAGCCTGCAGGGATTGCTGGGTGTGTGAGAGCGGCCGAGACAATATATCCCAGTGGTGGAAACTGGGGCTTGGGAGCCGCAGCGCTCTGCTCTGCCTCTGTCCTAGCGCGGCTTCTCCCAGCTGGGTAAGCCTGGGCACTTCACTGTTTTTGTACCTCAGTTTCCCCTTCTGTGAAAGAGGTACAAGAATAACACTTATCTCACCAGTTGTAAGAATGAAGTTAAAATATATAAAGCACATAGAAAAGCAGTTAGCACATAGCAGTGCTCAGTAAACATTAGCTGGTGCCACTGCTCTTGTCAATGTGCCTTCTCCCAGCAGCACTTGCACTTTATTAAAGGCCTTTCTCCTGCCAACTCAGGGACTTCCCATCGTCTCCAACCGAGGTCCCTACCTCGGGTGCTGCTGGGTCAGGGATGGGCCACAGATGGGCTGATGGTGACCCCCTCTGCCTGGGGACAGCCGGGCATCTCTGTCCCTGTTGGTCATCTCTGGCCATTCCATTTACTCCAGTGTCCCATGCCGAACAACCCGAAGTTCTAAGCATGACATTCAAGGCCGTTCACAACCTGATGTCTGGAGTACCCTCCCCGTCCCTGTTCTCAGCTGGGATATCCTTCCTCCAGGGAGCCTCTTCAGACACCCCTATCCTCCTCTCTGCTCCCACCTCACTCTGCACATCCTTCGATGACCATCAACATCAAGGCTGCTGCTTGCCCGCACAACGCCTTTGGGCAAAGTGAGAAAAGACACCCTTACTTCAAAATGCTTTCTTCCACCTGCTGGGAAACTTTTAGAACTGATGTGCCCGCCAGTAGCATCTACAATGTGGAGGGTGTCAGTCCTGGAGGAACCCTGACAACATCAGAGCTTTGGGAACATTTCCATGTGCCAGGCGCTGTGCTGGGCGCCTCGTGTCAAATACTGTTCGTTCCCCACCAGGGAAATGGTTCATCACAAAGTGAGGCTCAAAACCTAAGACCAAAGTCATGTAACCAGTAAGTGGCACAGCCAGAGTTGGGGCTCCAAAGCACCTATGGAGGCAACGGCCTCCATGGAGCCCGCACCCCGGCTGCTACTTGTACACCTGCCCAGAGGTTGGCGTGAGCTCCTCCAGCAGGGACCACGTTTCACCTGCTGCCGAAGCTCCGGAACCCTGCAGGGTGGGCACAGAGTGGGCAGCATCACGTGTGTCGATGGAAGGAGCCTCTTTGCAGAGCTTTGGGGTCCCAGGGGCTAGAGCTCTTCCCCCGGGATGTGGCTGAAGCTGGAGATGTTGGGACCAAGGTGTCCCAGGGGCCCCTTGCTCAGCCACTGAAGGCTAACATTCAATTCGGCGCTTACTTAGGGTCTGTCCTTGCTCCTACGTCAAAGGAGAAACCGTCTCCCAGGTCCTGATGTTCCCAGTTAGTCCCTGGATCCAGATTTTTCTGAGTCCAGAGTCGTGCTCTCTGCTGAAATGGGGCAGGTTTATAAAGGAGCCCACGTGCCGGAGGGTCAGGGAGAAGCCTACAACTGAGGTACGTGCCCTTGACTGGAATTGAACCCGGGACCCTTCGGTCCACAGGCTGACGCTCTATCCCTGAGTGTGACCCTGAGTGTCACATAACCTTTCCAAGTCTCAGGTCCCTCACCCATAAAATGGTACCTATCTCATCCTATATAATAAAAGCCTAATATGCTAAGTGTCCAGTCGTCCAGTTGGCCATTCAACCAATCAAAGCGTAATATGCTAATAATATGCTAAGGCCGCTCAACTGCTTGCTATGACATGCACTGACCACCAGGGAGCAGATGCTCTGACCAGTAGGTTAGCTTGCTGCTGGGGTCCAGCCAATCTGAACTGAGTGAGATGGGTTGGACATGCCCTGGAGCCCTCCCGTGGTCCCTCCCTGGCTGGCCAACGTCCCACATCCCTCCCCGGCCCCAATCATGCATCAGTGGGCTCACGGCTGGCAAGCACAGTGGCAGTGGTGGTAGCCTCTCCCGCCTCTGCAGCAGTGCTAAGGATGTCCGACTGCCGGCTTAGGCCCGCTACCCCCGGGAAGCAGGCCTAAGCTGGCAGTCGGACATCTGCTGAGGGCTCTTGGACTGTGAGAGGGCACAGGCCAGGCTGAGGGACCCCCCGCCAGTGCACGAATTTCATGCACTGGGCCTCTAGTAATATATATATAAATCCCTTAAACAGTGGCTGGCACATAGTAGACCATGTTAGCTATGCTTACTTGTCCAGATACGTCAGTGTAACTGTCCATTGTAAAGTAGAAAAGAAAGTAACAGAAAAAGTCCTGATTCTCTGCTAGTTTTAAGAGAGGTGTCATTTGAAGGTGCTGAACGCCTTGCTATACTAAAGGACATTAGGGGCAGGGAATGGTCCTCATTTACGTCAGGATTGTCTCTCCTTGTGGGAAGGAAGGCCGGTGGTAAAGTCAGCGACTCAAAAAGAGGAGGTGAAATTCTGAGTTCAGCACCTCCCTACCTGGAAAGATCCCCCTTCTGGCCTCCAATCTGCCCAAGGAGCTGTTTGGCTCTTACGCCCCCCCCCACCCCCCCCCCCCCGCAGTCCTTCCTCTTAGGTAACTGTCTGCTCCAGTTTCAGCGTCTCCCCATGAGCCCCATAAGGAGAAGGGCTCTAGCTGCCTTGTTCACCTGCGTCCCTGTTCGAGATGATGCTCAATAAATGTCGCTGAATTGAATGAAAAGTTTTTACATTTTCTGAAAAGAAAAAAGAACCTTGAGGGGGTCAGAAAGCTAAGGGTGAGCCTCTTGGGAGAAGAGGTGAGGGATCTATGGGTGTTTTTGGAACTCCTGGTTACCATAACTTCCCTTGGGCCCGGCGACAGCATAAAGGGGGAAACATCGCTTTCAATGACTTCCACCTAACGAGGTTATTTGAAAAGATAGTTTGTATAAAAAAAAAAGTATAA